CCCCAAAACCCCAAAACCCCAAAACCCCATCAGAAAAACTAAAAGATATATCTAGTATATTTAAAATATATGAATTTATTTATCGTAGTTGATCGAATTTAATGTCTCATCTAAATGGAATATAACTCAGGAATTCTTGAGCTAAATTTTCAGCCTCTTGATTACTGAAATCAGTATCATTTTAATCACTCAGATTGATACCAAACATGAACTCTATTTTAGATGAATAATCTTTTTCATTAACTGTATTGTGCCTCGTTAAATAGGGCGTTGTTTATACCCTGCTAAATATTAATTATTATGACGTATTATGGAATAATTACAATGGGAACTAACGTTTTAGAATTTAGTTGTGAACCTATTTTTTATGACACTTTAATTAGAATATTCTAAAAAATTTCCTTTGACACTTGTCGCATTGATGTTCCCTGATTGATTAAAAGCATAAAATTACCTTTGTGATAGATGCCTTTTCATATGATCAATTAGGTTACCTTTGGCAGTGAAACCTTAAAGGCATACATCGCACCTATAGGGTTTAACTCCATAGTGAGTCCTCATATGAACATTCAAATTTCCCTTTTCTGTGAATTGCTTGCTGCAGATGCTGCATTCATATCACTTAAGTCTCATGTGTACATTGCGAACATGCTTTTTAAGGTTATCTTTCCTTGTAAGTATCACTTCGCACATAGTGCACTTAAATATTCTTCTCTTTTAAAGTGGCAAGTAGGCTGAAATAAGATTATTATATTAATATATTTTTGTTTACATTTTTTTCTTCTCGAACTTATGCTTCTCAATTATTCGGTTGCTATCTAAATTATGAATCATCCTTATGAATTTATTACATTTATCACTTAGTCTTAGTTCATTGATGATGCATTTTTAGGATTCAGTTATTGATCTAAGTTATCCTTCATCACATAAGTGAGGACTTATTATTAAAGAGGAACAACCGAATTATTAAGTTTTAAGGGATTAACTACTTTTAAATCAAGGTAACTTGGATTTTCCGTTAATCTGATTGCACTAATTCCAACTTAATTGGAAGAATTGCCTATTCCAAAATAGTAGATCTACTTTGTCATTTCTTCAGCATCCTAATGGTATTTGCTAATGAAATTATATTACTGGGTTGATTACTTGTTAGTAATCGCCTCCTTCAAAGTAGCCTTGATTTATGAATGAGTTGCTAATTCAATTTGTCTTAGAATTAGAAACTAAATTTTGCTGAGTGTAAGGATAAGTGAATTGCATCTGTTAATTTCAATAGTATGGACAGTCAAAGTGGAAGAATAATTATGTATTTGATTTAGTTATTATTATATTAGTTTTAAATCCCTAACCTCTCATCTCAATAAAAATATTGAGTCTATGACTTTTATATTGATTAATGCTGATCTAATAATAAATCGATACCAAATTGAATGCATTAATTCTATTCACATTCGATATTTTCCGATATCATTCGAATGGGGTTTTGGGGTTTTGGGGTTTTGGGGTTTTGGGG